AATTTTATAGAATCATCAATGTTTCATTATCACTCTGGGTTTACAATGGATGTAAAGAAATAAGACTTTCCCTCTAGAACGTTATTCTAAGGGAGGAGATGAATTTACAAAGGTTTTGGTTGCAGTACAATGAGGAACTGCACTACAGTGCTGAAGGAGCCAAGGTTTTCAGAGGTTTTGTTTATCTTTATCAAAGGCAACCTTTTTTTCCTGTTTTAAGAAGCTAACAGATAAGATTACAGGAATAAAAATGGAAGCCTCGGGACAGTATTGCCATTTCAGAGCCTAATGAAGTTGCGCAACAATGTGAATTTACTTAATGCCACAGAGCTGGTTAAATGGTAAATTTTATGTGTATTTTACCACAAAAAATTTTTTTAATGAAGTTCAGAGAAACACTGTTTGTTATAGAATAACAGTAGAAAATAACTAACTATTCATCAACAATGGCATGGATAAAGAAGGTGTGGTACTCATATAACAGAATACTATAGAGCAATGAAACCAAACAAAACACAGCTACACACAAGGATGAATCTCACAAATAAAGAATAAAAGTATATACATTCAAATGATTCCATTCATTTAAAGTCTTAAAACAGCTCAAATTAAACTGCATTGCTTAGACTTTGGTGGTTACTTGGAAACTTGGAAACAAAGAAATAACTGTCACTAGAGTGAGGACAGTAGTGACCTATGGAAGAACAGAGGCTGTCTTTATCAGGGCAGAGCCCATGGAAGGCTTAGGAGCTGGCAACTTCTTGATTGGGTGTAAGTATCTCCTTTACAGTAATCCTTCGAAATGTGTATTCATGTGGTTTTGCAATTTTCTGTATTTATCACATGTCCCAGGTAGAAAGAAAACATGCAGCCCATGCATGGAATGGTACAGATACTTAGGAGGGAGGGGAATGAGATTTGAAAGGTATGGAGATACACATTTGTGACTGTAATACTATGTTTCATGAGCTGAGAGATGAGTACATAAGTTTTCATATATTATTATCTATTGCTGGTTCTTGAAAATATTTTAAAACAAAATTAAAACTAAAAAAGGTAATGTAGAAGATGTTTTGTTCCTATTTTCATTTTCCTTATGATTATTAAAATATTTATTTTATAAGTTAAAATTGGGAGAGAAAAGTCAGGGGGAAAAAATAGCCTAATGAAAATCAAAATTTTTTAGCAAATGGAAATTTTCACATATTGAATATCTATAAGTATTTGGAAGGACTCCCAATATACTAGTAGAAAAATGGGAATTGAGAGGTGAAAAGTGTTTCGGAAAAGCTTGGAGCTAGGTAGGGAAGTCTTAAATCAACTTTGGTTGATTGAATGTATTTGCCCTTCTTTAATCTTTAAATATAAAAAATGATTTTAAAGTCACTTCAAAATCAAAGAAAAAAGAACATCACTAAAAGATAGTAACCAGGAGACTTTATAACAATTAAGTTGTCACCAATAGGTTAATGTCAACATTAATATTCCGATTTTAAAACAAGGACAATAAAGAATTCACTGCATCCAAAAATGTTACCAAGTGATAGGATCACTCTCTACCCATCCACAGGAATCTCACTACCCATGCTCAGCATTCTACTTCATTCTACCTCTCCTGAAACCTCCTCACCAATTATCCATTCTTTCTGCCTGCAGCTTCTCTAACTCAATCTTTCCTCTTAGCATAAAACCACCCTTAAATATTTCAAATTTTAGAAAAGAATTAATTCATCTACCTTACATGCTTCTTTTCCCTTCCCAGAGCAAAACAGTCTTTAAAAAAAAGTATAGTTACTTCCTCAACTATACTTACCTTGCACTGATACCCCAACCTACTGCAGCCTCATTTTCTACCTGCCTCTCCATGGAACAGGTCCTGCTAAGGTCAACAATGGCCTTGTTGACCCTATCTCATTGGGCCTCTTAGGAGCACTGACTATGCCCTTCCATGCCAATACTCCTCATACTACTCTAGCCTTTCCTTCTTCCCTCCCCTTCCCAGGCTCTCCTGCCTTACCCTGTACTTTGAATAAAGAGTCTCGCCTTCTCACTCTCACACTCCATGGGTGATTGTATCTATTCCTATGGCTTAAACTACCAATGCACTTATGACTCCCATGCTGTTTTTTTCTCCATGATTTCTAATTTTTATAGTTTCTACCAGTTATAAAGTCAATTACCCCATTCCACCAGGACCACAGAGTAGGCTAAACTTCTAGGACTCATTTATCTTATCTGTAGTGATCGTAATTTTTACCTGGTAATATCAGCCGACTGCATTCTGAGGCCTCAGTCACCGGAAGGAGGGACAAGCAAGTAATGTCTTTAGCTTCTGATTCTACTAGCCCCTGTCCCAATGGGATGGACGTATTCTGAACAAACTGTACCAGGAGCTGAGGGGAGAGGGAGCAATATTAGAAATATGGCTTTTTAGGAATGGATCTAAAACTCTGAATTTACCAAAAGGTGATGATGTAATTAAGTCTTGATTGCTCACTACTCTGCTATATTCATAGAAAAACTAGATTAATGACGAAACAATATTTAAAGTTATTTATATCAAGTCCTCTGTTCTAGAGAAAGGCTGAATTATATAATTAATTTAATTTGTCACCTTCCACCAGAGAAATGATAAAAATAATTATATTTTTAAATGATGGCTATTAAAAATCCGACCACATTGTGCTGATTACATTTTATAAAAAGCACTTTTTTCTGTGTACTGGCTCTTTTAACTCTATAACTCGGTAAAATTGAACATGTATTTTAAAGATACAAAATCAAGCTAAAGACACTAATTGGCTTTTCTAAGGTCACATGACTAGTGAGAAGCAGTGTCAGGCTGCAAACTTAAATATCTGATTCAAAATTCAGTGACTTTTCCATTATGCAACAGATGTACTAAAAGTAAAATGAGAAAAATTAATAAAAATTTTAAATATTTAAGTCCTCTCATCACATTTAGAAAGAAAATACTCTCAAATATACACAAAATTAATTTTTAAAAATTGCTTGTAGTAATACTTACGTATATCTATCTACACATATAAACATACACGCCATATGTATATGATAAAAATTTGTCATATAATTACCTAGATGTATAATTTTACACTTATTTAAATAAATATAAAGTCATAGGAGATAAAAATGGAATTTTTAAATCTTTGAGAAAGTACTTAGTAAAAGAAATATAATGAACTAGTAATTCTAACCCAAACCATATTGCCTGCAAAGCCTAAAATTTTACTATCTAGCCCATTACAGAAAAAGTTTGCTGACCCCTGAACTAAAAAAGGACACACTTTGGAATACAGCCCATCTAAAGGAAAGAAAACAAGCTGACTGGGGCTCACCTCTGGTTTGGATTCTAACTCATCTGATAACATTGATTCAGTTTCCAAATCCTGCAGCTGTTCAGGGGACAGATTAAAATTTTAACTCGGAGTCAATGACACCTTCCTGTTATGCTCACATTCCTCTAGGAAATGCTATGTTTTTCCTGTTAAGATGCTGTGCTGAGTGTAATCAATTTAGCCTGAAATAGGGGGAAAAAAGAGAGAGAATTAAGAGCAAAAAAAAAATGTAGCTAAATAAACAAAAACACTTCTTTATATATCCAAAAATCACAACAAAGTAAATAAAGAATTCAGCCCAAACACTTGTTTTAAAATTGAACAAGCTCAATAGACATCAAAACCCATAAAAAGTTATATTTTGATCTAGATTTCTACTTTTAATAATCTATTCTAAGAAAAGGTTTTAAATATGGGAAAAGCTACATGCCCAAAGAATTTCACCTTATCATCTGTGATAAACTACAAACAGCATATAAATATACATATATACCCGACAATTAGGGAATGTTGATTAAATTATGGCACTGTCACTTAAAATATAGTTATGAAACAATGCAACAAAGAAAAATGCTACCACCACCTTAAATTACAAAAACAAAATACAAAGTGACACACTTGCTAATATTAAAACTAGTTAAGATATGCATAGGAAAAGTAAAAGGAAATTCACATAGCTGTGATAGCTATACTGGGCGGTAGGCTGATATGATTTTTTTTTCTTTTCTCAATTTCCCAATTTTTCTAAAAATAGTTTTATACAATCAGTCATAATTTGAACAATGTTTCCCCAAAGTAGTATTCTCAGTACCCTGATACAGCTGTTTTCTCTCCATAATTTAAATTCTCACTTTCTTATATCTTAATTTTTTTTTTTTTAGGATTCTGGCAAGTGAGTCCACTTTATTTCATACACTTGTTGCTAAAATTGGAAGCACTATTAAATACAAAGTGATCATACAGGTGAAATGTACCCAGGACGGTAGTTTTTAATTAATGCCAAGGTAAAGTGGAAAGTTAGAATACGATACTTACTCTACAAAAAGAACATTTAGAAGTACTTGAATGTTACTGTCTGTTAGTTCCTCCCTCTCCCCTTAGTTAGCTGCCGGAAATCTGCATTTTTCATCAAAAAAAAAAAAAATTTACAAGATGTAAGTAAAAGTGCTCCTTTCATTTTGTTTCCCACAAAAAAAATCATAAATCTCCAACTCTTCCTTTCACATATTTTTACTTATTCAAGCACTATAATAGCTCAATGTAGTTTATCCATCCCTCTTTTTACAGAGGAAGAAACCAAGGCTCAGTACCTCATTTGCTCAAGTTACTAAGGTGCAGAGCCAGACTTCTACCCATAGAGCAGGTTGATTAAATAGTGATTACATCTCTCTAGGTCTGATCTTGAATAGAGCAGGTTGATTAAATAGTGATTATATCTCTCTAGGTCTGATCTTGAATCACCAGGGTTTAAGAATTCCTTTTTCCCAATTCTACCTCATCTCAAGAAGGCAAGAAATCACCGAATGTTTGTTTAGGTTGTCCTTAAGGTTCCCCTAATTTTGAGATTCCAGCATTATAAAATCTCTAAGAAACTAGATGACTATAGAGTGTCTTTATATATGTTAAGTTATTTTAGAAATTAATGGTGCTGGCTCCAGGGCCAGGTTACCTAATGAAAAATGAGAAAAAAAAAAAGAGGGATATGACTATGTGCTCTGAACAAGAAAAAATCAGAAATAGTAGATCTTAGACATTTTTGCAAAGCTATAATAATAACTTAGAGAAGGAGACTGCCACTTCTCTTGTAGTTTAAGTCACCTCTAGATCACTATTTCTCAAGGGCCCATGGTTATCTATGACATCTTTTTATTTTAGTCTTTTCATTTCAATGATAATCTTTAAAAAACAGCACAAGCACTTTCTAGAATAAATGGGTATCCATATTATAACTGAGTACTGCCATATAATTTTGGTGCCCAAATTTGTGGTTTGTATGTGTGCTGTATAAAAAAAAAAGAGAAAGAGAGACAATAGTCAGATGTAGTAGAATAGACAAGCTGACCTCAAAAGAATCTGTAATGGGAATATTCCGTACCATATCAAATGTACTGTGTGGATCTCAACTTTAACAAAGCAATTCACTATATGTACATCAGTTGGAAGTATGATGGCAAATATGCAATTCAATTCAATTCTATTCCCAATTTCAGTTACCCATTTAACAGATTTCAAAAACTGCAATGCAAATCTTTTTTTTAAATAACAGCTTCACTGAGATATAATTCACATACCACACAACTCACTCACTTAAAGAGTACAATTTAATTTTTAGTATATTCACAGTTGTGCAACCATAACCACAATTTTATAATATTTTCCTCACCCCAAAAAGGAAATCCTGTACCCATTAGTAGTCATTTCGCATTTTCTCCCAAACCTTCCCCTGACCAGGCCTAAGCAAAGACTAAACTACTTTCCATCTGTATGGATTTACCTATTGTGGACATTTCATATAAATGACATTATATACGTGATCTTTTGTGTCTGCCTGCTTTCATTTAGCATAACATTTCCAAGGTTTGTTATAGCATGTATCAGTACTTCATTTCTTTTTATTGCCAAATAATATTCTATTGTATGGATATACATTTTACTTATCAACTTATCAGCTGATGGACTTTGGGGTTGTTTCTCCATTTTGGCTGATTACACAATTTGGCTACTACACATAATGCTACCATGAACATTCACGTACAAGTTTTTGTGTGGACATATGTTCTCATTCTATATATATCCAGGAGTGGAAATGCTAGGTCATATGATAACTCTATGCATAACCTCCTGAGGAATTACCAGGCTGCTTTACAAAGCGGTTATACCATTTTACAATCCCACCAGAAGTATACAAGGGATCCACTTTCTCCACATCCTCAACAACATTTATTATCACAGACATCCTAGTGGGTATGAAGTGGTAATTCACTGTAGTTTTGAGTTGCATTACCTAATGGCTAATGATGTTGAGCATTTTTTCATGTGCTTATTGGACATTTGTACATATTTCTTTGAGAAATGCTTATTCGGGTTGGTGGCCTATTTTTTAATTATTTGTCTTTTTATTATTGCATTGTAAGAGTTCTTTATATATTCTGCATAAAAGCACCTTATCAGATACATGATCTCCACAAACTCCCATTCTGTGTGTTATCTTTTCACTTGCAATGCGAATCTTATCTTCCTTTGAACAAGGTAACTCTACAAAGTTATCAATATCTCATAAAATTGGCATTTAATAACTTCTCAGTCAGCTCTGGTTAAATATGAGGTCTGATTATAATAAACAGCTTAACAATGCCTTGACATTATAAATACTACCTTGTATGATACTTTCTGCATTAGTAGCACCAAAATTAAAATCAGAAACACATGAAATATATAAATAAATATAAGTCCAAGGCTAAATCTTTCTACTGTTACAACTCTACATTACATATTTTATTTTAGCAAATGACATCTCTACCACAAAATATAAAAGTTAATTTGAATTTTGTTTTATAATGTTGTTTACATCTGTATTCTTATTCATAAAGATATAAATCCATGGCAAGAATTGACAAAATCCGGATGACTTAAATTTTACAATGTATATAGTTCCCTGTTGCCGTCAAAACATATTAGACTGCTTACAGAAAACAACCTTAGTTTAGCATATATTTCTTAGAAATCCACTGACCCTAACACTGCTATTATTGAATTATCTGTAAATTTGTTGTTTTTTTTTAATAGCTGACTAAGAGCTATAAGATCTCAGCACAGGAGGGACAATTTTCCAGTATGGAGGCGGAAGTCTAATGCAATGTTTTTCCTTTAAATACAACTTACATGACACTAGAGAGAAAGGCACTGCTCTTACTCAAGGGGAAACTATTTTCCTGATAATTATGAGTCTCAGGAAATTTTTCTTTCAGGCTTCCTAAAACTATTAATTAAGATAAGAGATTAGAAATGCAATGTACATCACCCAAAGTTCTTTAATGTGGACAGTAATATTTGTTCACTTTTATCTTTAGCTGGTGAACAGGCAAAATTTATATCCTATTTCCCTTTAAATAGAAAAATTACTAATTTTGCTCCATACATAATAGAAGAGATGACATTTTACTATCAGCAACCAAGGCCAGGCTTGTTGAATCATAATTTCCACCAGTCATTAATAAGGAATCTTGGCTCTAGATAGAGTTCAAATACTGATCTCAGAAACTCAGGAATTGGTCTAAGTAGTACTATTCAGACCCTATGGCAACAACTAAATTTTACTGTGTTGCATGGTTCCCTATGGCCATCAGAGCATATTAGGCTGCTTAAAACAAATAAACAACCAACCAAAGAAAACACAACACCTTGGTCCAGCACATATTATTTTTTAGTAATCTACCAACCCTGTCACTGCTATTATTAAATATGTTATCTCATAGTCAGCCTAAAGGTTAAAATGAATGCAGGTAATAAACCTTTGCAAAGAACCAAAGCAAAAAACAAGAAACACTGATAAGTTTTGGGAATGAGTAATTAGAGAATTCAACTACAAAGAAGATTTAGGAAAACAGAGATCTCTATGATCAGGACCATCCTGAGAACAATTCTCCTTTTTTAGCCAAATAAATCCTGGGAACTGAAGTTTAATAAGCTTCATCCTTTTTCAACAGTACACTCAACATCATCCAGCAAATTATGCATTAATACCAAACAGCTGAACAAGTTAAATAAAGAAACTGAGGTATGTTTTAAAAAACAAAAACAAACAAACAAAACACCAAAGTCTCTAGAGCAGGAATCTAAATTCTGCCTCTGAATTGTTTGTTGAGACCTAGGCAAGCTACTCATCTTCTTGGTCCTAGGAAACTCATCTGAAATATAGAAATGACCACGGATCTACCGTAGGATTATTTTCACATCAATCAATAGAAATAATTATAAAATTCCTCAGAGATAAAGTTCCGCATAAGTGCTTAAGAAACAAGTAAATCTATCACTTAGTATACTATACAAGGTTAAGAACTCTGCCTTTTATTAGTGAATCCAAATTTCCTAGAAAAGTGGTTTTCAAACTTTTTTGACTGCAACTCCCAATGATACATTTTCTATAACCCAGTAAATGAAACACACAGAGACAAACACAAATAACATTTTCATGAAACAATACTAACCTATACTACTCTCATGCACTGAATTTTTTAAAAATAAGACCTACTAAATTGATCTCACAAACTACTAACATATTGTTTCCCACAGACTGAAAAACACTATTAAAGTACCTTCAAAATATCTTCAAAATACATACGTTCAACATAGAATCAGCCATAAAATGTAAAGCCATATATATAAACCTGCTATTAACATATATTACCATCAGCAATTACCATTGATAGAAGTCTTAGTGAAATTAAGTGACTGGAATCCTGTCCTCAAGCCCTCCCTGTGAGGCCTTCAGAGGAAAATACTACACTCTAGGCAATCGCCAGCAAAGAAAGGAAGTTTTTGTTCCCAAAATCCAATGCAGAACTCTCACGCACAGGACAGGAATTAATGTTAATACCATTTCCCTATGGTAGAGATGGCCTAAGACCAATGCAGGCCACATGGGAAAATACTGGAAGGAAAAACCAATCCAAAGTAAACAAGCCATAGGGGAACAGAGGTAATATGGGACTCTTGCCTCAGTACTGACTGCCATAGAAAAGGCAGTGTAGTCCAAAGGTAAAGATGACCAGGGGCTTTTACTACTCTGCCTCATAAAAGAAAGAGAATATCATTGTGTTAACCTCTAAAACACAAGGCCCAGAATATCACTACTGCTCTAACTTAAAGGAGGTAGACAATACCTTGACCTTGACCCCCATTTCAGAAAAAAGCAGAAAGTGGGGAAGAAATGGAGAAACACTGCTCCCCCAACTGGTCACCATTCACAAAAGTTAAAATAAAGCACGTAAGTGCAACCAAAAGGGACTAGCCCTCTCACCATGGGCCAATCTGTTTCTCAGCTCCCTCCATCTCTACCTGTGGCTGACCACAGATATAGACCCAGCAAGTCAGTAATGGTTAAAAAATGAAAACACAAATTCTATTAATAGTAGTGAATAACAAAGACTTAAATTTTTAATTTAAAAAAAAGCAGTTTACATTTTTAGTATAAATGGTAGTGCTAGGAGCAGAAAAAACAGGGAACTTTCTATATCATATCTAGCATATTATGGGGGTTGATTAAATTCCAATGATAAAGTGATAACAGGCACTGATGAAAAAAATTTGGAATATACAATTGTGAAGCCAAATGAATCTGTACGATTTACCCCAGGGCCTTCCCCCTTCTCTTCCCAGGATCTTCTGGGATACTCCATTCCCACAGCCCTGATTTTTATTCCAGTCATCTCCCCATTTCTCTACAATCCTTCAGAGCCAAATTCATCAAGAGTTGTCTCCAAACACAATCCTACCCCATCAATTGAAAGGATTACCCATGAGGTTCATGTTGCCAAATCCAATGGACACTTCGCTGTCCTCATCTTACTTGGCCTCTGCAATGGGCAACTATCGTTTTTGACTGTCTCATATTAATTTCCCCTGCTTGAGTGAAAGCACCAACATTTTGTTTGGGGATCTACCCCTCCCCCATTGATTATGTTATTGGTAGGACTGCAGATTAAGGTGTTCTTTTCTACCTTGGCCAAACTGTTGGACACATGACCTATGTTGAACAAATCAGACACTTTTCCTCAGAATATGAATCCTAAAAGAAGGAACTAAGGACTGAAAACTACTGCAGCAAGCCATTCATTCCAGTAATACAGTTAGCAACCTCCCCTGGGGCTGCTCATATCCCTGTCTTTTATAAAGCCAGGGCCTTCCGCATTTCCTTTGGTCCTGTGAGCTGCCCACATCCTTGTTATAAATTCCTATTCTCCTGAAGTAAACTGGTCACCTGCAACCAAAGAGCTATACTAGTATTATCTCTGAGAAGCACTGCCTCCTTCCTCAAACACTATTCTTTGCTTCCAAGATACATGTTCCTTATTTCGCTCCTACCTTACTGGTCATTTCTCTAGTCTCCTTTGATAACCCCTATATTCCTCCTGCACTCAGCTTCTAAATATTAAAGTTCCTCAGTATAGTACTGAGGACCTCTTTGCTTGCTACACTTTCTCTCTAGTGTGAACTCACACATTCCTTGGCTTTAAAATGATATAGTCTTTAAAATTTTTATCTATAGCTTAGATGCTTAGATATCTCCCCTGAGCTGCAGACTTGTATATACAATTGCATACTCGACTTTTCTACCTAACATTTTAACCTGGTGTCTTAATTTTAACATGTCCAAAATGAATTCTCTCCCAAGCCTGTTTACCATCATTCCCTGCTAGCCCCTCTCACTACAATCCTTTACTCAAGGACCACTATTTAGTAGTAATTACACCATTTAGGAGTAATTTTTATTACTTTCTTTCCTTTGCTCCCAATATTCAATCCAGTTATAAGTCCTATTGATTCTATCTTCAAAAGAGGAAATATAGCAAATCCGCCTATTTCTTTCTCTACTGCCACCACTCTACTCCAGGCCACCATCAACTCTTGCCTTAAAGTACTGTTACTGCCTACTAACTGACTCCCTGCTTCTACCACTGTCACTCTCCATTCTATTCTCTTCACAGCAGTAAATATCATCTTAAAATGAGAATCCTATTAAATCACTTCTCTGCTTGAAACTCTTCTCTAGGCTTTCTAATGCATCTAGAAAAAATCCAAACTCCTTATCCTGGCCTATAAGAACCAATGTGAGCTAGTCCTGCCTCTCCATCCACACTCCAGTCATCCTCCCTTATTTGCTCACCAGGCTCCAGCCAGATGAATCCCCCTTAATTCCCTGAACACATTAAACTCTTTCCTATATTAGGGATTTGCACATGACATTTCCTCTACGTAGGAATGCCTTCATCCCTCTCTTCCATTGCTTAGCTTTTTTTTATTATTCTTCAGAGCTCAGTTTAACTATTAACTCATTTAGAAAGGCTAGCCCTGATTCCTTATCCAAAGAAAGCTCTCTATACCCTCACCTTTATTTTCTATCTCTACTGTCTCCATTGTAGCACTTACCACAATTTCTAATCCTTTCATTTGTCTTTATATAGTATTCATTTTTTGTCTTGCCTCCCCCTAAATTGTAAGCTCCACAAACAAGGGCAAGAACTAGTCTTATTCACTACTATATCATTTCTGATACTGTGAAGCTCTAAAGGTTGTCTTTACTATGAGCTCAAAAGGCTTCTATACAAGATTCCCTGTAAGCACCTAGTGTGCACTGAATACTTGTATATGAATGAATGACATCGTACATGACACCCAAATTTTTGTCTCTATTCCTGACTTCTCTTCTGAACTCCAATCTTTCATTTCTAACTGCTTGCTAGTATCTCTACATGGATATCCAAAATCTAGATATCATCTCTCCCACCAAACCTGTTCTTCTTATATTACCCATTTCAATTATTGCTCAATCTTCCTCTCCCTCAGTTGCAAATTCTAGGTCTTTAACAACCTCCTCCTCCATATTTAAATAATCCCAGAGGTTCTGATTCCCTCAGATTTGTTTTTATTGTAATACCCTATTTAGGTCTCTCATTCTCTTTCAACAACACTATTAAAATAGGCTTCTAACTGGCCACCCTGCCATTAAAATTCTCCTTTCTAACCCATCTTTCCAAAACATAGAAATGCTTATATTACGCCCCTTACTCAAAGTTCACTGCCTCAGAATACTAGTGAAATTCCTAAGCATGGCATTTCAAATATTCTACATGTCCTCAAAGACCATTCCAGATGCAGCATCCACTATATTCCTCAATGAACTCTCTACTCCAGCCCACACTTGACTGGCTATTAAGTGAACACACCAACCCATGTCAGTGCTCAAGGTCTTTGCTTGGGATAGTTCTTCAGTCAGTAACAAACATCCCCAAACCAGTTCTGATTTTGTGAAATCTTGTCCAGCCTTTAAAATCCAACTCAAATGCCATCTCCTCCATGAAGACTCTCTTCTGAACCTTTCCCTCCAGTCAGAATAAATCTGTCCTAACCTTGGTGTTTTCACAACACAGTTTATTTCATCCCCCTTTGGGTGTTCATTGTTTACATGCAAATTTTTCTCACTGGTTAGGTTTGTTGAATTTACTCACCCTTCTTCCATTAACCTAGCACAATGCTGTACACAAAGGAAGCATTCAGGAAATATTTAAATAGGTAAACCCCTTAGTTTACAGAGAAAAAGCCAAAAGCTACAGATTAAGTAACTTGCCAAAAATTAGACATCTGCTTAATGCAACTTGAAAAACTAGAACCTAAACCTCGACTGCTAGTTTAGTTGACTTTACTCTGTCCGCACTAAGATAACATAAAGTGGATTTTCTTTCCTTCATAACAAAATGACCCTTACTTTATTTCAAAATGTTGCTTTTATTCTCTGCAAATACGCTGTGTTGACCCTTTACCAAAGTGAAGAAGAAGTACAAACTCTTAGGTCCTAAACTCTTAATAATATTTGACTTCCAAATAGTGCCTAAATGCATTTTAGAGCCTCATGAACAAGTGAGAAAAACTTTAATAAACTAACTGAATTCTTTTCTTTGAAGAAACTTCAGAGAATAAATTCGACCTGCTAAATGCATACAAGCGGTAAACACTCACAGCCCAAACCCCGCCCTGAAATGACAGTCGAAGGAGAAACCGGCAGCCCAGCCTCTCCGAGTCTGCAGCCTTCCTTCTTCTAGACCCAGAAAGTAAGTGGACATATGAAAGAAGAGGGCAGCTCTGGGATGAAATATCCAGGGCAGAATCCCCTTGGCATCCTCTTTCCCCCATTACAACGGCCTCAGTGTAAGGCCTCAAGGTCCGCGGGCAGGCCCCGGCTGCGGGTACAGTCTGGGAGCCCCCGCCCAAGGGATTCGCTGACTCCGGCTTCCTCGGGACGTTCTTGTTCCCATGCTCAGGCCCCAAAACCAAGCAAAGGAGCCGAATAATCGGCCCCCAACCCAGCGAAGGTAAGGATCGAAGCCGTGGGGCTTCAGCCCCACCGCTCCCGGGCCCGCCAGATCCCGGGGGGGTCTCCAAGGGGGGCGGTTTCCCTGCCCTCTCCGGGGGCGAACTCGACCCGAGTCCCTGAAGAGCCGATACTGGCTCCCACCCTCTCGGGGACCACCTAGCCTAGCAGTACGGTCTGGCCCACCCCGGAGCTCACCTTCCCGTCCGGGGCAGCCGTCCGTCCGTCAGTCGGTCTCGAATTCCGTCCACACATAGCGTCTTCCGGCTCCTGCCGGAAGCAGCTCGAGCGCGGGACAGGAAGTTTGGCCGCCCCCCGACGCACACACCCACTTTCTCGCCTCCGGGCGGTTTGGGGCCGCCGCAAGCGGGCTTCTCCCTGAAGAGCTGCAGCTCCGACTGGGCCTGCGGCGCAGAGCTCTGAGCCGGGACGGAAGGAGCCGCGGTCTCCTGCCTCCCACTCATTCTGTCTCACCTTCGGGGCTCTGTGATCTGCGATGCCCGGTAAAACGGGGTCGGTTAATTCTAGCCGTGACGTCACTGCTTCCTTGCAGCAGCGTATGGGTAGTTTTTCCTGTCAGCTGAGATCAATACTAGTTACAATGGAGGTAAGCGAAAAAGGTCACTAAACATGTATCAGAGTTTTCAGTGATGAGGACCTTGAAGCTTCACTGCCCGAAAAGGGAACTTGCAGAATCTAATTCTGCATTGTATACGGTACCGGATGAGAAGTGAGACTTGTGGAGAACTTTTTTGGAATACGAAATCCCTAGAGTCTAGGTTCCATATAATTGGATGTAAAGAGCTCTCGGCCGTCTTGACTAGGGACTAGAACACGAATTCCAAGCTGGATGCCACCACTTGTTGAACTTTATGAATCTGACTTCTTGAAATTACTAGTTTTTTTAATACTGCTGCTTGCTGAAGGATGAGGGACTCAACGAAGACAGTGGCAGTGGAGTTCTCTCAGAAACGCATTTTCGAGATCAAAGACCAGCCTTGATGACAGGTGTATTAACGGATGAGAGAGTAGTTAGGTACACAAACGATGGTGATTTAAAAAACAAAAGAGAAACGCGATTCAGGGGGAAATAATTCCTCTTCAGGTAAAGCAAATTTATCTATCCCAGATGCAAAGGAGATATTTACTTAGAGGTAAAGGTCTGGATCTTAAGTTAGAGGTCAAAAATAGAGATGTAGATTTGAGAGTTATCAATTTACAAAGGTGAGGCCCTCTCTAGAAATGGAACGGTGCAGGAAAAGTATAAGACAAGAAAGAAGAGAAGCCACTCAAGTCAACTGGAGTGATTGATTACTAACACAATTTGAATCTACTTTTTACAGATATTGCCAACAAAAATATATTACATGAACACACTATATATGTCTCACTGTTGAATTGTACACTTGAAACTTACTGGATTTCATTAACCAATTTCACCATAATAAAAATTTTTTATATTGCAGTGTGTAAACAGGTGATCACAAACCAGCACAACACTCAGAAGAATATCTTCAATTTTACTGTTCCCCCTCGCCCCAGCTTTATTGATATATACTAGACAGTTAGTTGCTCATATTTACATTGTATAATTCAATGAGTTTTTTTCAACTATAGTTAGCAAACAATAATATACCAGTTTCAGTTGTACAACCTGGTAATCAGAGACCCACATAACTCACAAAGTGATCACCCCACTAAATCTAGTACCCCTCTTCCCCCTTACACATTAATTACATTATTAACCCTCTTCCCCATGCTACACGCTACATCTCCATGTCTATTCTGTAATTATTTGTACATCTTAATCCCTTTGCCTTTTTCTCACTTCCCCAACGCCCCCTCCCATCTAGTAGCCCTCAAAATATTCTCTGTATCTATGAGTTTATTACTGCTTTTGTTGTTATTTGTTCTTTAGATTCCACATGTACATGAAATCATGTGATATTTGTCTTTATCCTTCCCATTTTATTCAGCGCAATACCCTCTAGCTCCACAATTTTTTTGTTTTTAAAGGGTTGATTACAATGAAAACAAACTCTTTATTTAAAGGTACATTAGTCAGTCTTGCACACTCATGGTTATAACCACTTGTTAATTTGTCCAGTCAGTCCTGTCATTTTCTGAAGCTGTCTTGTTTAAATCTTTTTAAGCACCTAAAACTCCAAGTGATATTTCTATCTATTTGCGGTTGAAAATTTTAGTATTTGACAGTATGTCCCTGCTAACCTAAAATAAACATGCTTTTATCAATAAATATTAGAGCTTTTAGGCTATACAGTAAACTATTTGGCAGAACATGAACAGATCATCTCCTGTAGTAAATCTAGTCTCTCCATCAACCTAACCAACCTCAGTTCTCAAACTACTCCTAACACAAAGCCTCTGCTCTCCTATCCCAAAAACTGTTCCACAAGCTCTGAATTCCCCCAATCCCCTATACAAACACCCTGCCATTGAGTCCCTTTCCATCTACAAAATGTAAAGGCTATCCAAATGCTATTCTTAATCCAAATTTCAGTTCAAGAATTATGTAAAGCACTTACAGTTCAATAAATATTTACTAAGTGCCTTCTCAAGCATTCCATTTTAAATAAATGTTATTAATTTTAAAAATCTGTTTTGTATGATCCATTAACAGTATCAAATCTCCAGTGGTTTCAGAACATCTGATAAAAATATCACATGTAATATTAGTTTTAGCAAAAGGAAGAAAAACACATTGAATTCAATCTATTATTGTAAATAATCATGTTGGCTGTAGACTGCATACATGATATTGAAGATAATAGGAAAGAATTATGTTATGCAACTAAAAAAATCACCTCTAATCACACTTAAATCAAGCCATCTGTACTCTTAAGGTCTTTTAAATGTATCTTGAAAATCTTTTGCAAAATGGAAATAAATCTATGTATTTCCTTGACGAAGACATTTATAGAGATTACAAAGAAGTTTATTCTGGATTGCAGACTGTCTGCTTTCCAATGTTGCCTTCTGTCATCACGGACTGCAATGCAGCTAGAAAGGAAAAAAAAACTAGATTATCTGAAAACATAAATGTCACTATCATATATGTTTATCAGTAGGTTAGACAATTAATTTGAATTACTTCAGATATTTTAATATTAAGTATTGAAGTAAATGGTATGATAAAAACTCAAAACACAAAGTTACAGGACAACTCACCCAATTAAGATCTTAAAAAATTGTTTTTATCCAAATTAGAAATGTTTAATTGGTATTCACATCAATGTTCACTGTTTACAGAGTCTGAAGACTAGAGAAAAATAAAATGCCAGCAAAAACAATATTTGAATAACAGTTAAAAATATTAAATATCTTATAACATTTTACAAAGTGAAATACACATCTGTTATGCCAGCAAAATAAGTGAAATTTATATTTCTGTTTAGTAAACATTAACAAAATAAATTTTTTTCTGAAAAAGAAAATAAATCAATTTGCTTATTATAATTTGATGATGACTTAGAGCCATTCAATCAATCTGAAAAAGTTACCTAGAGTCAGCTAAATGACTTTCATGATTCTTACTTTTTTCACAAGCTGTTCACAAAAACACTTTATGATTTGAAATGTGAAAACAATACCTCTTAAATACCACTAAGTTTAACTTTCATGGAGTTTGATTGAGATATTTAAGGAAAACTATAGGATAGTTTTACAAGAAAGAAAGAATTTCAAAAGAAAAAACAAAAGTAGAATTAAAAGAAAAAAGATTATTTGTGCTGAAGACATATATATTGTAAATAAATCTACATTCATCTTACCTCCCATGTTTTCCAATCCATTTATCATAGTTTCTTTGATCTGTAAATCAAAATAACTATATTTAGTATCTTAGACTTCAAAGTTTCTCCTTAATAATTCCCATTTTTGTAAAAAAAACAGCAATACTTTTTAGCACTTTCAGTCTAAAAATATTCATTTCATGTAGGTAGCCCAGAAAGGTTTCCTATTAATTAATTTTTTAAAATAAAATCCTATCTTCCCTTTATCTAATCTTCACTTGGTAACAGCACAAGCTATACACCCTCCTTTCCAAAAACAAAGTATATAAGCACACACACATATAACTTTGCCTATCATTTGTAGGTTTCAAGAACATGCTAGGTCAGAGGCTCTGAACCCCAGATTAATAACTCCTAATTTTCAACGAACAACCAAGAGATATATCAGAATGTCCTAGGAGGGCAGGAAAGAAGTATGGTACTGGAGAGGTAGGGGTACTACTAGGAGGTATTTATAAGATTTTCGAGAAAGGACAGCTTCTAACATATAGTAGCATTCCAATTTGGGGGAAAATCCTATTGATCTTACAATCTAAGAAAGGTAAAGGCTAATAAAATTTTAGATAAAGGGAATAATAAGAGAGGGTTTCTCAACTAGAAGGTTATACTCGCCTAGGAAGTAAAGTTAATTTACAATATTTAGTACACTTTCCTTTTGTAGAAATTTTTATTATGAAACTAGTACATTTGCTATAATAAATTCAAATAATACAAAAATTTATCAAATAGCAGGAAGAATAATATTGATAAAGAATAGAAGCAAATTCTACCTTTAGCTTTCCTTCTTTAAACCACTGACTCAGCTGTAGAGTACCAGACTCAAATTTGTCCTTATAATTTAACAACAGAAATCTTTCTCTATAGTGGGAAAGAAAAGAATAATAATCAGAAACTAGTAAGGGAGTAAAAGTGTCCAAAATCAAATCATTCCAGAACTTTAATATCTGTTAATCTTTCAAACATTAGAACTTAATCACACAGAATCTGGTCAAATACAGTTTTAGGTGTGGTTACAGGTATAAGTGTAGCGCACTTCTATTGTTTTGTCTGCCTAACATCTAGGTAATAGCACTGTGGTACTAACACTGATTTTACTTTGTGGGTAACATCCTTTCCCTATCCTCATGTGACCAGGCCAGTCTGAGCCAATAAGTATCAGCTTTGGGACTTGATAAAACCACAATAAGAGAGCTGTTCTCTTTTTGCTTGGATTGCTAAACTAGTAAAATACAATTTAAGAGATAACGAGTCATCCTCTCGCTGCTCCTGCAAGAGGAGAGCCTGCAAGGGAGCAGAGCCAACCCAGAAGGAAGCACAGCCCAGAGGTGGAGAAAAACTGAGTCGTGACACCACTACGCAAACTCTTTATCCAGCCAAATCTAAGCTAGTACTGTACTAATGTACTTCTCAGATACATGAGCCAATAAATTTCCTGTGCACTTAAGCCAATATGATTGAGTTTCTATCATTTGCAAAAAAAGGAGTTGCAAAAGACTGATAGAAAAGCTGCATTTTTAAAAGTTTTCTGCCAGGGAAGCTAGTTAACCCAATCAAACCTTAAATATTGAACTGACTTAAAATGGATATTTTCAAGCTTTATTTAATAATAAAGACTTATACATGAAGAACAATACATTTCAAATAATCTATGATCTTTAAACCTCTTGAATTTGGTAATGAGAAAGGGCAGAACACACTTTGTGATGTTTTTTTCAAGATTGCTTCTACAGCAGGGGGTAGTGGAGGATAAAGCACATCTTGTACTGAGAAATTTGACCACACAGGATGATGTGCCTATTCTGATTCATCTGTTCAGAGAAAACTAATGATTATACCCTGAGATATATCCCTCTCCTATATATATGATTTTATGGCTATCTCAAAGAAAGCCTCCATGACTACTGTACTTAATCCTTTAGTGCCAATTAATTTTGTTTTAAATGTACTCATTATATGTTTAAGAGTTTTAATTTGCTGGAAAATAAGTCCACTCCAAAGGAACATAGTGGTAAATGAGAGTTCGGTAATCAGCAAAAGAATTACATTAGCTGTCATTGTTGCTACTTTCATCAGTAGTAGTAAAGTATTTCTTTGGATTTAAATAATTTAACTTTGACTACAAATAATTTTACATATAGTAAAAGACAATGTAGTGTTAATTGTTAATAGCTGATGTTGATATTTATAACATTGTCAATAAAAAGATGTTAAAACTTGCAATCTATGAAAATCTACTCTCTACCTAAAGTCAGGGGCCATGACTAGAGTTGGTTGATGGTGAGTTAGGAATCTGAACTTCACCATTTGTACAACTTAATTTTTCACAAAAATAAATTGCAGGTGAAAAATATAATATTACTAGCGAAGAACTGAAATTGATGCTCACAGTGCAAAACTGCAAGCAAACAGAAGTAGATATATCAGCAAGCACTTCTGTATCAATTACAGTACTTATCATCAAGTTATTTTTCACAGTAAACCCTACAGTTTTATAAAGTTTTTTCTCTCTCTCAGTATCAGGTAAAGCAATATCACATCAAATAAAAGGGAGTATTCAAATTTATAACAAACAAATCAGCAAACAACCTGACTTATCACTGCATCACCGATGTCACCACCAACATTGTCAAAGTAAACATCTACTCCAGCTGGGCATAATTCACGGAGCTGTTCTGCCACATTCCCATTTTTATAATTAATTGCATCATCAAAGCCCAGTTCTGAGGTCAAAAGGAGGCACTTCTTATATGTTCCACAAATTCCCACCACTCTGGAACAGGCCCATCAAATGGTCAGTCCAGGGGGGAATTTTTGAAAATTAAACAACTTTCTATTGTTACATTTAAATTTTAAAATGTGAAAGTATAAAAGATATTACAAGTATATGAAAATGTTCATCACAATTTAGGTTAGATTACAGGGCTTTCAGCTAAAAGTAATTTGAAACGGAACAAATACAATGTCATTCTTAAAAGCATTAAGACTGAATAAAATTAACTTAGTTTGAATGTTAAAATTTCACCATTTAAAGCTGATTTCGTAAAGGAAATAGTCGGACCCAAAACATCACTAACTTGCACTTCAATATTTTTCAGTGGTTAGATCTTGAGACTATTATGTATGCCAAGTGAAATAAGTCAGACGAAAAAAGAGAAGAACCATATGTTTTCACTCATATGCAGTATACAAAACAAAAAGCAACAAATAAACAAAATGAACAAACAAATAAAAAATTCATAGATACAAACAAAAGAATGGTGGTTACTAGAGGGAAAGGGAAGGTTGGGGGAGGACAGACCAGGTGGTGAGCACACAATAGATTATATAGATGTCATATTATAAAGTTGTACACTTGAAATTTATATAATGTTATTAACCAATGTCACCCCAATAAATTTCATTTAAAAAATTTTTTTAAAATATTTTTCAGGCCTGAAACTAAAATCACTACTAAGATAAAATGTTTCGTTTCAATGATTTCATAGTATAAAGTATATCGTTTTTATAAAAAAACAAAGCACTTTATAAAATTGTCATAATATTTACTGTATTTCTAGAATCCAATAAGTGCTTCCTTATTTGAAATTTTTTTTTTTATATAAGATGAGTTTGTTTTTTCATGCATGGATTCCAGACAGGTACTCTGATTTTCTTTCTTATATTGTTGAATAGAGCAATGCTCCAGCATTTACCATGTCTATTTTTGATTAATAGGAAAAAGATACAAAAATCTACAACATTTTTCATGTTGTTATAAAGATAATCTAAGCAGATAATAAACTCATTTCTACCAGAAATCTGTAGAATCATATTATAAATTTGTTCAATTTTATATTTTAAATTATATACATGTATCCAAAGATTCAATTATGACTACTTTTTTAGAAAATCAAATAATGCTCAGAAAATTTACCTGCCCAGCCAACGATCCACACGCACCAGCAGCCCTACTAACAACCATTGTCTGATTAGCTCCAGCAGTTACATGACCTTTTTCTTGTATTCCAGTAAAGGATGTCAAACCAGACAAATCTATAGCTCCAAGAAAGTATGAAACATGTCCATTCACAAGTTGCGGGTCTACCTAAAATGAAATACACACCTTTTAAAAATAACAGTAGGAATTTCTGTTTTTATTTTTAATTTATTTATTTTAATTAGTTTCAAGTATACACTACATTGGTTAGACATCTATATAGTTCATAAAACGATCTCCCCAATTGCTCTCTCCCTCCCCTGACCCTTCACTTAGCCAGCGTGTTAATGCTAAGTACATTCTCTACACTGTGCTCCCCATCCCCGTGACCATCTATCACCTACTAATTTGTACTTCTTTAACTCTTCAGCCCATTCTCCCAGCCCCCCAGTACCTCCTCTCCTCTGTCTGTCACCAAATTTTCCACTCTATTTGTGAGTCTGTTTTTGATTAGTTTGTTCTTTTTATTCCTTAGATTCCACATATAAGTGCAATCATATAGTGTTTATCTTCCTCTGTCCAACTTAAATACCTTCTAGGTCCATCAAAGCAGTATCTTTTTCTATCCCCTTCATTTTCATATGTAGGGATCTTGTTTTCTTATCCTTTCAGCCACTCTATCTTTTGGTTGGAGCACTTAATTCTTTTTCATTTAAAGTACTTATTGATAGGAATGTAGTTGTTACCATTCTTTATTCCTGTTTTTGATACATATTTTTTCTTCTTAAAGAAGTTCCTCCAAAATTTCCTGTAATACGGGCTTGGTGGTAATAAATTTCTTCAGTTTATTTTTGTCTGGGAAGCTCTTTATCTGTCCTTCAACTCTAAATGATAGCTTTGGTGGATAAAGTATTCTTGGTTGTAGATCCTAAGTCTTCATTCTGTTGAATATTTTTTGCCAAGCTTTTCTGTCCTGCATAGTTTCTTTTGAGAACTCAACTGCCAGTCTTCTGGGTTTTCCCTTATGAGGAAAACTATCTGTTTTTCTCTTGCTGCTTTTAATATGCTTTCCTTATATTTAAGCTTTGGCATTTTAATTATGATGTGTCTTGGTGTGGACCTCTTTGGATCCCTGATTTTGGGAATTCTCTGAGCTTCCTGGGGTTTTATATCCATTTCCTTCACCAGGTTAGGGAAGTTCTCCATCATTATTTCTTCAAACAGCTATTCGACATCTTGATTTCTTCAGTTACGCCGATCAGATGGATATTTGAACCCTTAATAGTGTCTCATATGTTTCTTAAATTATTTTTATAGCCTTGGCATCTTATCTCTTGCCATTCTGATTGTGTGTCCTTGGTTTCTCATTCTCTATATAGGAAATTTGATCCTTTTCTTTATTCACTTTGTTTATTCCTTTGTTTATTCCATTTAATATACTTCTCATCTCAGATAATGTGTTCATTTCAGATTGGTTCTTTTTTATAATTTCTATTTCCATTTTTATGCTTTTTATCTCTTTATTGAAGTTCTCGCTGAATTTATCTACACTTCCCAAAAGTTCATTGAACATCTTTATAATCAGTGCTTTGAACTGTGTGTCTGTTAGATTATTTGACTCCATTATATCTGGATCTCTGTTCTGTTCTCTCATATGGTTTCTGCTTCTTTGTCTTCCCATTTTGGCTGCCTTTCAGTCTATGTTTCTATGTACTAAGCAAAGCTCCTAAGTGTCCCAGTCTTATTAGTGTGGATTTGTGAAGTAGGTGTCCAGTGGCACAATCCTGAGAGGGGTTCAGCTGTAGGCCAAATTTAGCTCAAGCCTCTGCCCCTCTGGGGCCACCTGTTAAGATTCAGCAAGCAATCCACAGACGCTGTGCTTATAATTTCCTCAAAAGGCCACACTAGAAACCGAGGCCAGCTGCCTCCAGTGTGAGTCTAGGCGCTGCTCAGCAAGGAGCACCGAGACAAGCTGCTATACACTGAATTGTGTCCTCCTGTGGATGAAAAAGATGTTCTACAGAAAGTAACCTCATAGGTGATGTGATCATAAATTCCTCACTGGAAAGGTCATGGTGGGTAGTCAAACCTCTGGTATGTAACTTCTTTAGTAAGAGGTTTATCTTTGTTTTAAGCAAGCCCTGTCCACTGTTCTTGTGCACTGAGGTTAACACACCTTTGAAGTAAGAGTAACCACTCTCAAGAGAGCACATAATCTTGTTAACTATCCTGTAATCCAATCTTTGCTTTGCTTTTTCCCCTCCGTAATTTCAAAATGCATAAAAGAAACTGCAAAATTGAAATTCTCTGGAGCATTTGAGATCTTGCTTCCCAGCAACTGTCATCAGTTTGATTCATATTCTTATAAAAATCCTCTACAGGTTTCAATATTTCCTCCATGGACACTCCTAAAATTCATATCTTGAAGACTAACTTTTAATGTGATTATATTTGAAGATAGGGCCTTTAAGGAGATAATTAAGGTTAAATGAGGTCTTAAGGGTGGGGACCTAATCCGAAAGGATTATATGTATAAAGGATTATATGTTTTTATAAAAAGAGGAGGAGACAGCAGAGATCACTTTCTCTGCACATGTACGGAGGAAAGGCTGAATGTCACGTAAGGACACAGCGAGAAGGCAGCCATCTGCAAGCCAGGAAGAGAGACTTCACCAGAAACCAAATTTTCCAGCACCTTGATCTCAGACTTCTAGCCACCAGAGCTGTGAGAAAATAAATTTTTGTTGTTTAAGCCACCAGCGGTACAAGCAGACTAATAACCCAATATAGTTTCTAGAATAGTAAACCATTCTTCAGTCTTGTTAAAATTCTATAATTCAGTTGAATAAAGTAAAAAACAACTGAATATCATTTCTCTTTATAGTAAAAACGAAATAAAACTTTTAAAATAAAACTTCCACGTAAAACACAAAATATTCTTTCTTGTCAATGCCCCAAGTATGTTGAAAGAGAAGAAGGACTTAATGGGAAAACACAAGGCAAAGTTGGGAGGTTTTTAAATCTAAGCAGTTCCAAAGTAAACATTTATCTATATATAAAAAAAAAAAAAATCAGCTACAACTCTAACAGTTGTCGTTACTCATGCTTAAAATGTACCATAAAAATGTAAGGATGATACAATTTCTTCTAGTTTAATTAGAAAATAAAATGAAGTCTCTCTTAACTTAATAGCATTTTACGTTTATATGTTTACCAGGCCCTATTGGTAATTAATTATACTGCTCTAACATCTTCTGTGTCTGTTTTCTTATCTGTAGAGTTTGGGAGAATTGAAAAAAAAATAATATAGAAAGACTCCCTACCATAATGGTTTTATAATAACTTTTTAAGGAATTGAACAACTTCTGTAAAAATGTAATAAACCACCAAAAGGAATCGAGATTCATTACCTTAGTTTGATTTGTAGTTAAAATGCCACAAAGAAATAAAATGGAATAAAAAGAAATAAAAAGTTTGTATTCGGCAATTTTAAATGGCTATCAATTAAATCTGGTGTGTAGATAAAGGTAATGAAGACTTAAGTCTACAATACATAGAAAAGTCTACAGTACACAGAAATATTGCATGTAGGTAATATTTATTAGTAAAGCTAGTATAAAAACAGTGTGAATTAAGTTTGTGTTCGGCAAATATCACATTTTCGTCCCTTCTGAACTCCTCTTTCTCATTTCTAATACCTACTCCCAAAGCTCTTTTAAGCTCTCCCAATTGCTCAGTTTCCCATAATAGCACAATGATAGAAGACAGAAACTGCTGAATATTTCTTTTTCACTTCCTGCTAAGAAATTTCTAGTTAAATTTATTTTACTGGTACTACCCAATGTATTTTACTAGTATTACAAATGATTGCATAACATCTCCCATGTCATTTGTATCTTAACAGCCACCTTTAACTAATTATAAAAATGTGTAATAAAAAAATACTAACATTTTATAAATCCTTTTACAAAACCTTAATCTCACTGGTCATAGCATTTAATTTTCATATTCACTGTAAGATAGCTATTATTTTCATTTTGCACATAAGGAAACTGGGGTTCAGAGACATAAAGTAATTTCCTTGATGACGTATATTAGGTTGAATTACATGAAGCTGCCAATTTTTGTAGGTCAAAACAGACTAATATTTGTCATCAACCTAACAGAAGCTGAACTCAGGATTTCTGACACGAGATAGAATTTCAAGCACAAACCAAAGGAATTAAGTTAAGTGACAATTTCTCAGGAAACTTTAAAGCATACAACCATAAGGGGCCTTAGAATTTTTAGTATAAAATATATTTTGGTGCTTATCGCTCAGGTTTTATTTTATACATATAAAATTTGGGAAATAAATTAAATATGAAAAATAACACCATTCATTGGTAATCTAAGAACTGTCAAATAAAGTTACAGCCAACAGGAGAAAAGAAACAAAGGCTTTCCACATTTTACAGCTATCTAAAAGAAAATATATGCTTTTATGTTTTCCTTGCTAACAAACAGAAGTGAATGGCAAATGCACAAAGTAAAAATTACAGGGGGAAAAAGATTGGATACTCTACGTTATATATCACCTTTTCAATGCTATTTCCATCCAGAATAACCTTGGTTTGCCAGGGCCAACAGAAAGAAGTCACAAAATTGCCTTTAGTAAAATTTGTGTGTTTGCTTTCTTCTATAATCCCAATACTTCTACCATCAACCCCTTGAGACAGCTGCCAAGGTTTCATATAATCAGCCCCAGTGTCTTCCTTCATTCTACAACGCTAAAAAAAGGGACACATTGATTAGAATAATTCTGCCTGATAATACTGAACCAGTTTACTAATTTACCCAGTGACTAAAAGAAAGATATATAATAAGTAATGTTAAGTAAAGTATTAATCACATAAAAATTATCTTCATTTCCCTCTTTCAGTTATTTTTTATCCTGAAAAAAATGTACCCTTCTAACAAGAAGTATAATTAAAAAGGAATTTAAGAATGTACTAAAATTAGAATGTGGTGATAGTTCACAATGTTGGGAATAGACTAAAAACCACTGAATTGAACATCTAAATGTGTGAATTATATGATATGTAAATAAGCTGTTAAAAATTTTTAAAAAATACTTAAAGAAATTTAAGTAATATTATATATATCACGCTAGTAAAAATAATATAAAATACTATGCCAATAGTTTCAATGGATCATAGCAAATTAGATACACTTACATATTGCTGATAATATTACAGAAAACAAACTAGTAACATACAAAACCACAATAGCACTTATGTCTTTTGGCCTAGCAATTCTACTTCCCCGATAGAAATAAAACAAAAAGAAATGAAACTTTTAATACAGTTGTTTATCACAATCCCATCCGAACTCCTCTTCCTCATTGCTAATACCTATTCCCAAGGCATTTTTAAGCTCCCCCAATTGTTCAATTTCCCATGATAGCACAATGAGAGAGAAAACTTCGACTAAGCACTACATCACACCCCTAACCTCAGGTGGATGTTCTCTATATTTCACAAAGACAAAATGCCACAGTCGCACCACACCCTTCCATGGGACTGAGGCTGAAGACTTCCTGTGTAGTCAAGGCTTTCTTCCTGTGGTTCACTCTTGTTTCTCTCATGAAGCCAAGGTGTAGAGGCCTACAGTATGGTCCAGGAGATAGAAAGGAGATCGAAAAGATGGAAGGTTGTTTAATTAAGGGGGCCCCATATGGTTTAGTTCAGTTCACCAGAGGAAAAGACCAAAGAGGAAATTGAGGCAGAAGCTTCTGTGGGAATATGCTATGCTTCTGCTTGTGTGCCCTCCCATGTATTCTAGGAAGGTGATGCAGCAGCCATGGATACCGGCCAGACCAAGGACCTGACTCTTAAACAAGGCTAAGAAGAAAAGTAGAACAAGTAATTCTCTATAGGTAAGCAAATGATGTCAAGAAAATAGAATGTTCTATAACTACCAAAATAATGATACTTGGACTAGTTTTTCATATGAAGATATTTATATAAAATCACTTAAATATGAAATCAAAATAGTATATATACATTAAATGTAATCACGTACAATACTATAGATGCATGGTAATTAAAATTAGCTGTAAATTTGGAATGATATAAAATTTCAATGATTTAATGTTCATTAGATTCCCATTTTTCCTTTTAAAGTTATGTTTTTTGGTTTTTGGTTTTTATTTTTTTAGACCAATGTCTAGTGAAGGCAAGTGATTACTACAGTTCCCAAGTGGACAGGCACATCACGCCATACAAGGCCACCTGGGGAAAGAAATGATTTTCTTCCTTTCTTAATATTTAATAAGCACCATGCTAGTCACTGGAGATAAAGTGATAAATAAGACCTTTGTCTTCATAAGTTTACTTTTCATCAGGGAAGACAGATCTCTAATAACTACACAAATATGTGTTAATTACAATTAGGATAAATGCTGAAGGTCAAGGTACTGTTTTGAGAAAATGTAACAGAAAAGACTGTCCTGAGGGTTCAGGGTGATTTAACCAAAGCAAATCTCTTTAAAGCAGGCTTCTAGGGAATAACAGGGGTTATTCCTAGGTAAAGAGAAAAAGGTGGGAGGAAGCTTTTAGATGGAGGAACAGCACATATGAAGGCTTGTTTTAATTTATACCTGGGATTTTGTTTTAATCAATTATGGTAAGATGACAGAAACAAAGACAATTGCCTTGAAGAAAGAGTTTATTATTTATAATTCCCAAATGAAGAGGCACATCATATGCAGGGCCACATGACGAAGTAACAGAGTTAGTCAGAAGGCAAAAGCAACAAGAGGAAAGCATGGCCGAGTCTTTATTGTGGTTTGAGAGAAGGAATGCACAAGGCAGGGTAGGCAAGCTTGAGTAAATTTAGGATTAAATAGTTTGAATAATTTGGGTGAGCTCTGGCTTACAGGGGTGGTTTCTAGTTGCCTCATACTGGCCTTGTGGTTTAGGGCAGGGAAAATATCGGGATGGTATGTGAGTTGGAGGAAGGAGGTGGTTGGAGTTATGGGTTTTAGATTGATTGATTTACATATGAAAGGTGTGTCCCAGGCAAGTTGTTTATTATCTCTAAAAATTAGCTAGCCCTGAGAAAGGCAGTCTCTCCAGGATTAACGAAGCCCCTAAGGTATGAAAACATCATAAAATACAAAAAATAAGAAGCATGATTAATACAAGGCATGAGCAAAAAGGGGCACTGGTGTGTTATCAAAGAAAGAGGCCCAGAAGCAAGAAGGAGAATGCAAGTATATGTTTAGAAACAGGAATCCAGAAAGAGATTATAACTTGCCTATTTGATACCAAAATCAGGTAAACCATCACCAGAAAAGAATAGTAGCGAACCAAATTCAGCAACATATCAAAGGAATTACATGCCAGGAATCTCACCAAGTGGAATTTATTCCATCTGAAAATCAATGAATGTAATAAACCATATCGATGGATTGAAAAACAAAAACCACATGATCATCTCAATAGGAGCAGAAAAAGCATATGACAAAATCCAAAACCCCTTCTTGGGGGAGGGGGTAATGAGGATTTTATTGTTTAACAGGCACAGAATTTCTGTTCAGGATGATGAAGTTCTGGAAGCGATAAGTGGTAATGGCTGTACAATACTGTGTGTTCTTTATGCAACTGAATTTCACACTTAAAAATAGTTAAAATGATATATTTTATGTTATATATATTTTACCACAATAAAATAAAAAACACCCCTCATGATAAAAGCAGTCAATCAACTAGGAATAGGAGGAAATTTCCTCAACCTCATAAAACTGATCAAATCTAAGCTACAAAAATCCCACAGCTAACATCATATATAATGGTGAAAGACAGAACGCTTTCTCCCTCAGATCAGGAACAAGACAAAGATGTCCACTGTAGTCACTTCTATATAAACACTGTACTGAGTGAAGGTTCTAGTGAAGGCAAAAAAAATGAAATAAAAGGTATCCATATAGGAAAGGAAGAAGTAAAACTACCTCTGTTTATAAAATCTAAGTCCATGTGCCTGATGGCTTCTCAGCTGCAGTCCTAGGCCATATATACCTTTTCAATAAATATCTTTTATCTAGAAGCAGCATAAGTGAGTCTGTTCCTTTCAAAAAGAGACCAACAAGAACGAAAGTCTTGTACAGAGTCTGCCTTGTAAACTGGATCAGTCTGAGAGAATTTCCCATCCTAATTTACTATCTTCAACTTTTACTTACTATTGAGAAGTGATCTGGACATTTGGAAGAACCTGATTAACCACATGTACTACTATTACGAAAACCTTTCTACGACATTCCTTAATGACACTAGTGAATAAAAACAAATGTAAATCTGTAATCCACAGGTGTCAATATATAATTGCCCAACTATTTATTAATCACGAGAATTGCACAATAACATGTAGATGCAACATAAATATACAAAAATAAAATTAATTTTCACCAAGCCGCAAAATCCTGATTCTTACCATATAAGGATCCACAGAAAGATAAGGAGTTCTGACTTGTCCTTGTCCTTTATTGATATTATCTGGTAGATTTACTTCTTCTACTTGGAAATTCTCTGCCACTGGATTACTATTTTTTCGTAAAGTATTAGGTAAAAATATAAAATCAAAAACTCACTTTCCTATGTAATTATTTATTATTCTTTAAAAGGTCTCTCTAGAATTCAGAGCACTCTCTTTTAATACAGGCATGAATAAATCTATATTGTTTTGTAATTTCTCTGTAACGCAGCATAAATTTTTCAAATAATTTTAATTACTCTTGATTTTCTCCAAGAAGATCCTTTAGAATATTGCTGTCGACTTCAAAATATCTTTTTTAAGATGACTACAGGTAAATCACTCTTCTGTTCTAAAATTTAGGAGGATTTCAGAAAGCCAAAAATTATAGCCAATTTTTTTTAAACTATGAAAATTAAAACTTACAAGCAGAAATATCACATCAGCCAAAGAAAATAGGTAAACATTCCTTCCTCATGTTAAGAAGAAAACAAAAATTTAATGAATGCAATATTTTAAAAAGTCTTGAAAATTAGAAAATTTGAAATATGAAAAGAAAAATCTGTAAGCAGCAAACGTCATCACTAAAAGTATACTCTTACTCAGTTATGTTGAACATAAGCAAACTTCGTATTCATTAAATCGTCCCTTTTCTTAGATGAGAATAGAATGTAAAGATTTTAATCTAACTGCTCACTTTACTAAACAAAGGTCAGAAAAAGTTAAGTGACTTCCCCAGGGCACACACTAGATAGGCAGCAAAACTAAGGTAGTATAGGCCCAAATCTCTCAGTTTGCTTCCGTACTTGTTTCTATGACTCAGGTTAGATGTCAGCACAGACATAGACCAGTGCTCTTCACTTAAAACAGGAAAGCAAATTTTAAGAATCAATGATACATACTATAAAGAAAATATGAAAGCCACATATATTTATATATTTATAATTCAAATATTGTAAGTCTGAAATACCTTATTTTTCCAACAAATGGCCTCAAGAAGTTATCACTTGAAAAACTCAGTATTACATTGTTTAAAGAATTTCTTCTAATATCTCTGCTAGTGTTAATATCTTCCTACCTCAACTTACCACACTGACATCATATGAATACTTTTGTTCTTCTTATTTGCATTAATAATAATCAAAGACCACAACTGTTCATTCATCACAGATAAATACATACCAGGTCGAGAATTCAATGTCATTCTTTGTACAATCGCCATCTTGTTTGCACAGAGATCTCACCAGATTTCTGTATAAATTCCTACAGATAGAAAATATTTTTAATCACAAGAAAGTTTTGAAATAAAAAATTTAGAAATAAAAAAAAGAAGCACATTTGTGTTTCTGAACCAGGAGAAGAAAAATCATATTTAGGATTAAAAAAATATACAGTCTCCTGTCAGTTTGCCTCCTAAAACAAATATATTAAGAAAAACTAAATTCATTGAGGACTGAGTGGGGCAAAATGTTTCTGGCCTCAGAATTCAAGCACATTCATCTTTATACCATTATTATTAAGCCTCCTACTGTGGCTTGATTTAAAAAAAAAAAAAAGATATATTTTGCCAGAGCTTGCTAGTAGCAAAATAAAAACAATGAGTAACCAAATTTTCAAAAATTGTTACTCACTTATCAAAATGGAAATTTCTTAATAGTTTTGCTTATTACAAAATATATCAAAATATATTTGCTTATTACAAAATATATCAAAAACATTTTCAAATCCTCACCTTATAGGAAATTCTGTAATACAGAATGGCCAAATAAGTAAGTAAAGGATCAGTTTATTCTAGGTTTACAATTTGAGTTACTGAAAGAAGCAAAATGAAGGTCCAGTGCTGGCACTATCTATCTAACTTGGGGGAAATAGCCTTGCTTACCTTATCCATCAGTAAAAATGGGAACAAACCTTTAGTGTTACGATGTTACACTGTTGTGAGTGCTATGAAAAATATATATTCATTTGATATTTAATAATATTTAATATATTATTTATATATTATACATTATAGTGTTTGATATATATAAATATGTATTAATATTTAATAGTAATTTAATCTCCTAACAATCCTATTATTATTATCCCCATTTAATAATAAGCTTTAACAGGTTTAAGCACTTTCCCAAGGTGACAGAACTGAGATTCAAACCTAAGCTGTCTGACATTCCAGAATCAATCTCAACTACCACATAAAAATTTCCATCCTACATGTTTAAGTTATTTGATTTTTAGGATACTAAGCAAATATTCCCTTTTTAAAATTAATATATTAACCACTCCTGTCTTCTCTTCGATATTGAGTTTTCTAGCCTTTGTTACCTAGCAACATTGAGAAGCCCAAAGGAAAACAATTAGGTCAATCTCTTTTTTACAATAGTGCAACAACTTAGCTCCTAGCTTCATTTCTAAATATAAGGATTTTATACAGCAGCATACTTATACATTTGACAAGCATCTGTAAATCCATTCCATGTGATACTTAATAATCCCTTGCCTTATATCACTGGCTAATTTCATTTATACATGACTCTAGTTCTCATCTATTTTCTAAATTTGCAAGATCCTTGAGTTTCTTCATATTTTTCTGTATCCTATAGAGTGCCTGGTTTACATAGACCTTAGATTTACATATAACCCCAAAACCGTTAAATAATCATCATGGGATATTTTCCAAATCTTGTTTAAAATACTATTTATATAATTTACAGAGAACTTTCACACAAATTACATTACTTATTTCTTTTTAATAAAGTTATATAGGTAAATATGTTACCATCCTCATTTTACAGAGGAAGTTGAGGTACAGTTTAAACCCAGGATCACAGAGCAGGTAAGCAGAGGAGTTAGGACTGAAACATAAAACTCATCCCAGATCTCACATGTCCTCACTCTCTCCACTATTTCCGTACACTCTCCTCCAAACAGGGTTTTTACATATACAGCCATACAGTGATGCCCAACTCTCCTGTAGGTACCCTTTCTTAGAGGAGAATTCTGCTCCTAATTAAGAAGTAAACATCTGATGTTAGTGACAGTCTGTAATAAAATAAAATGAAGAACATGGACATATATCCTACTTGCTTCCTTTTTGTAAGGTATATATTTATAATCTCAATGATTTTTATATTAATGGCTAGTTGCCCTCAGTATCTATTCTCTCCTTATAGACACGATGTCACCCAGCTAAAAGACTGCATTTCTCAGCTTCCCCTTAAAACAAATCCCAGACATCTTATGTCAAGTAAAAGTCTCTCAATTATGCATCTCTGATAACAGATTGTTTTAAACATAAACTGCTATGCCATTAACCTAACAGAATTAATAGCACAGGTAATTCCTTAACATTGTCTAATATTTAGTGCATATTCCAATTCCCTGATTGTCTCGAAGATATCTTTTTACAGTTGTTTCATTAGAACCAAAATTCAAGGTCCACATACTACATTTTGAGTCTTTCCTCCTTTTTTATTTCATGCCATTGATTGTTGAAGAAACACTTGTTTCTTCATTTCTTTGTCTTTAGAATGTGCTTTGCCTCCTTATGGTGTCATTTATCTCATCCTTCTTTCTCTCCCCTTACCTTTAACTGGTGATTAGATTTAGAGATATGATTAGATGCAGGTTCAATTGTTTAGACAAAAACGTTCTGTGTGCATCCTATTTCATCACATCAAGAAGTCCAAAATATCCTGTAAAGCTACATATATTCAATATTTCTATTAAATCACACTGTGTATAAATTATGTAAGAATTAAAAAGCAAAGATTTCCAAATTGATGCTGGGTCCAAAGAGAACTGCATTTAAGTGGTTATTAAAGTACCGTGACAGCTAAATTTTCAATCAAAGGAGTCTTTCCAAATCAATTCTCCTATTTGCTCTCTTCCCCAATTACTTTCAATGTATGCTTTAAAATATGCATATCGCTGATTTGTCCAAATACTGCTTATCAGCATGAAAAGTATACCTTTAAAGTTCCCTTCCTCTATATCAAATTAGAAAGTTTTTAAGTGTCAAATACTGAAATTAACTAATGTAGGATAATCACACAATATCCTGCAATAGCACAGCAAACAAGTTTAATATATAAAAAACTTGACTTAGTTACAAAATTAAAATTAAAACTATGGCAAACCAAGTTCTAGATATGAAAGGAAGGGTGGTGGTGGTGGTATATTTACCCGAAATGTGTGCGGGGGGAGGGGGGAAGGCGGTTACTGACCAACATTAAGCAAACCATATTTGCCTGGTATGATATTAAGTGGGTTCCTAATTAGCACTCATATTCCAAAATAATACCAGATCAATATGTTGTGTGAGCGTCTATCTTGCAGCCTGGTATAAGAGAAAGGGCACTGAACTAGGAAGAGCAGAGCACAAGTCCTGGTTCTAATCAGGTGGGGTCTTGTTCTCTGTCTCTTTCCTGAATATTCCCAAGTGCCAGGAACTAGGCTAATGACTTTATAGTCATTATTGCGTTTAGCCCCTCCACCCAAACGCCCTTTAAGGCTGGTACTGCCAGCGTCCACATTTTATAGATGAGGAAAGGGAGGCACAGAGAGGTTGGATAACTTGCCCATGGTTGCACAACTGGTAATAAACACCGGTACCCATACTCGAACATTATATTTACATAATATGAACTTCCTAACAGCTTTTAATAAAACATTTCTCTATCCTGATCTCATCCAATTATTCTGCCACAAATGACTCTGTTGACCACTGCCATCTTATAAAACGTGCAAATCTCTGGTACTTTCTCCATTCTTTCTGGGCAGCCACTCTTCTCTGCGTCTTCTGGTTTCCTCTTTTCCTCTGCCCAAGTCTAATACGTGGGGACTCCTGCATGATTCTTTCCTTCCAGTGACCTCACCTTCTTCTATGGCTCCCACTACCACCCACTCATTTGGCAATTACTACCAATCTGCATCTGCAGCCCAGATTTTCAAGCTGACTTCGCAGATTGTAAACGCCAAGAAGCTAGGGATTTATATCTAACTGGCTCATGGTTGGTGTTCAAAAAGTATATGTTCAATGAACTCCCCAGAGGCACCTTATACGCAATCATGTCCAATTTCTGAGGCTGCTTACTCTCAACAATTAAAAAGAGAGAGAGAGAGAGAGAGAGAGAGAGAGAGAGAGAGAGAGAGAGAGAGAGAGAGGAGAGAATGGGCTGCTTCTGTTGCTTCTCCAGCGTTCCCTATTCCAATGTCCTAGGTATAACGCCAGCAGCTCCAGGAGGAAGCCTGGAGATCACCCTGGCTCCTAGGGCGTCCCTCACCCGCAAGGCCCGACACAACTGCGGGTTCCTCTACCCCGACGTCGGGGTGGTAGGCCGAGTATCCTCACTCATCGCCGCTGAGCTGGAATGAAATACCGCGCGATATGCTGGGCTGCTAGGGGCATCGCTGCGCGACCTCGTTCCTCCGACTGCAGTTCCCCGGCGCTCGGCTAGCCCTGTGCTCCTCGCCCCCTCCTTTCCCAGGGGCGGGCTTTTGAAGTTTATGCAAGTTTCAGTGAGAAGGCGGCAAGCTGCAGAGCCTTAAAGAAGATAGTCACGTATCTGGGCAAAGTGTATTATTGTCTTACCCAGGGCTGGTGCCCTGCGGCCTTCCCTACTGCCTGACCTCAAAAGCAAATGGTCCAACCTTGACCAGTGAGTTCACTTTTAGCAGTCCTTGAAGCAATTTTATTCGGTTTATGGACTTCTCCTGAGCCTTGGACTGGAAAATTGCAGCGCGAGAGGAGCTGTCAAGGCTACCCCTCGTTTTGTGGATGGGGAAACTGAGACTAGAGGAGTCCATGTGTTTGGACCACCTCCGTTTCATCTGGTTGGGGCCGTGCTGAAATTAAAACCGGCTCTCCGCACTGCTGGCCCAGAGCCCTTTCCTGGTTCTTTCTGGCAGGGCTGTCTTTTCTTTCACAAAGAATCCGGAATTCTTCAAGGAAGGGTTATTTAATGTGGTCAGATTGCTCAATTTTATTAATAATTAATTGCTTTCTTTTGTGCTGAACTGGGTTGAGCAAGGCCTATTCCTAGGACAGCCTTGGATCCCCAGGAACCCTAAGGAAACCATCCTGTTTAGGCAGGTGAAAGAATTAATTTTTACATTGTGTTCATGTCAGAGCTAAGAGCTCAGCACAGATCATGGTATTCAGTAGCCGAAAGATAAGTAGAATGGTGATCAAGGGGGTAAGAATCATTAAACAGGCTGGAGTGCCTAGCAACTTCACGTCTTAAATTTTTTACTTCTTTGAGAAAGCTTCAGGAAAGAACTAAAAGGACTTACAAATTTCTATAGGCTGGAGCTTATCTCTTTTATCAGTCCTGTGCAAGCAGACCTTCAATAACCTTTCATAATAACTTGAGCCAACTGATGAAAAAAATGATCAAACAGGCTAAAAATAATAGCATAAAATAAAGGTAGTCTAGACTTTGATCCTAAAAGAAATAGTCTTTTAAAGTAGAAAAGAAACTGCAATATTAAATTAGTTTTGACTCTCGATTTCAGAGCCTGAAATCTCCTTGTATATCAAGTGTGATTTTTCTTCCCAGAATGAGTTCTCAATCCAAAATATTCAAGGAATGAGCGTCTTAATTGTAACCTCACAAGAGGAAAGAAACTTATCCAGAACTACCTAGCTAAATCTCTCCCAAATTCCTGAATCTCAGAAGAAATTATGTGAGCTAATTATTTGTTGTTCAAAGCTGCTAAATTTTGGGGTAGTGGTTTCTGCAGCAGCAATATACAACTAATATGAATACTAAAAGAGAATTAGGGCTCCTTGGAGAAATGGCTGATTCCAGTGGTGGGGCAGGGTAAGACCCAGATGAGACTGGAACATCTTTTTTTGCTAGAAATTCTGGAAGTTTTCCCAAAAAATAATGAGGCATATCACAGAGACACAGAAGTCAGCTTGAAGGGTATCCTACTGGCTAAATCTGGAACAACTTCAGCAGCAAAATAATTGTATGATAATGATTTATAAACATTGTAAAAATAGAAATTCATGAATCTATGCCAATAAGAAACAGATAGAATGGAAGGTTCTTGCTTACAGTTGAACAATGTAGGTTTGAACTGTGTGGGTGGATTGAAAAAAATATATGCCTGTAAGTGGGCCCATGCAATTCAAACCCACATTGTTCAACAGTTACCTGTATATTTGATTTAAGCTTCATGCTCTCTATGTAACCTAACACCTTCTTTGTTAAAGAAGAAAAGAAATTTTTGAATTTCCTCTTAAACCGGATTCAACCAAGAATACAAGGGCTTTTATGCCAAGAAAGAACCATCTTGCGGTAGTGATAAATGTCAAATGTGCTCAAACATAGTAAACCAGTAAGTCTTTCTTTCTTTCTCGATAGGTCTGTGTATGTTTAAAGGAACATATGCAAAATTCAAGCTGTCTTCAAGTATGTCTCAAGTTTTATTTTCTGCAGGGCCTTCTTTGGTCTTCTTTGCACGTATGTGCAAGGCCAGGCAGGTTCAGCCAGGCATGTGTGAACAGCTTGGGCCCTCTTTGGCCTCCTCTGTACATGTATGCCACCGCTGCCAGGAATATGCCTTCCCCAGCCACAACTGCAGCCACAGGTTAGTAGAGCCCAGTTGTTGGCCTCCTCCTGCACACCTGTATCGAAGATATCATGATGATGCCTCTGGGCATGGGCATTGTCCAATGTTCTAGAAAAAGTGTCCCCCTTCAACCACAGCAGAAAAGCTGCCAGTCCTCATGGCTTTCTCCATCCTGGCAGAACCTCTACATAATGAGCTGGGATGATGGTGGGTGGAGGGCACCTCAGATTCCTGCATTCTTACCTGAAGTTCAGCAGTTCTCCAAGCATAAACGCTTCTTAGATTGTTGTATGCCTTTGGTCAATTTCTGGAGCACAAAAAAATTTATTTATGTTAAACTTTGTTCAGCTTTATAGTTGATTTTTAGGGGAGTGGGTTTTCTAATCTCCTCTCTTGTCCGTAACTGGAAATCTGTTTAGTTTATTTTTAAATTCCAAATAATTTTAGAGAAGGATTTGAGATTTTTGTGTACATCAAAAGACTCAAATGACACATGCTGCACAATACATAAGACAGCTCCTCTCAGCAATAGATCTGGTCGATAGGGATTATTTAGTCCTATTATTTCTCTTCTGCTCTTTTCTTTTTTCTCCTGCATGTTAGATATTCTTTTTAAAAATCTGTTTTTTAAACCTTGATTCCTTGTTTCCTTAGCAACTGGAAAAATAACGAATATCCTTTACTAAACAGGTAATATAAAAGGTTTTCTCTGTGATTATGGCCATATCTACACCCATAATATGATATGAAAAATTGAAGTACTCAGAAGATTAAATCAGATCTATTTCCCAGCTTCCCACTGTCCAGCCTCTCTCCTCCCAAACTCCACATTTGCCTCTAACATTGTAAACACACTATACATACTTGTTAAATTAATAAACAAGTGAATAGATGCCTATTGTATGCTTAACACCATAGTGGGTGCTACATGGGATATCATTCGTAAATGAGAGTCCCTGACCCACAGAAGTTTACGATCCAGTTGGGAAGACAGTGGCATGACAGCATATGCAGTGTATGATAAGTACTAAAAGGGATACCATTGGCAACAAATGCTTCATTCACTGAACAAATAATTATTTATCGTCTACTTTATGCAGGCACTGTGGTATACAATGGTGAACAAGACCAGCACAGACCCTCCCTTCATCAGGCTTCATCTAGAAGGGACTAGGACAAGCGATCAGGCAGTTATAATACTGCATTGCCAGGGCTACAAGAGAAGAAGTACAGGATGTTATGGGGACAGATAGGAGGACAACCTCCCCCTGGGGGAGGGGTAGCTGGAAACATCTCTTGGAGGAAATGCTATTGGAAACTGAAATTGGAAAGACTTTAAACCAAATAGGCCAGGAGTTGGGGTCGGGGGAGCAGAGTGGTGTGCAGATGGGAACCAATTTAGACTGTAGGAACACTGTATATTAAAGTCTGGAGGTAAGAGAAAGCAAAGCATGTTCAGGTAACTAAAAGAAGTTTAGTATGGCTAAGGCAAGGAGTTTGAAGGGGGAGAGTAGAAAAGATTGAGATATAAGTAGTGAAAAGGGACCAACAGATCACCTGGAGGCTTGTTAGCTGTGCGAAGGCGTTTCAATTTCATCCTAAGAAAAATGGAGGAACTATTGAAAATGTGTTGTTTTGTTTTAAAGATTTGGGCCTGATTATATTTGATTTGAAAGGAGTCATCCTGGCTGGAATTAGGAGAATGAAAAGAATGAATGTTAAATGGGTGCGACTGGAGGCAGGGAGTCTAAGCAAAAGATAATGGTCACCTAAATAAAGGTAATGGTAGTGGGAATGGAGAGGAAGCATAGACTATGGGCTGTTTAGGCATTAAAATCAACAGGAGTTGATGAAAGATTGAAATGGAGACAGACAACAGACAGAAGTATATGAGTTTATCTGGAGTCAAAGACTGGCAACTGGATTAAAGATACAAATTAGAGTCAGGAATAATGGGAAAAGATGAGATTACTCAGAGAATGGAATAGAGAGAAAGACAGAAAGAAAGTCCAACACACAACCCTGAAGAGAAGACTGTGAAGAAGCAGAGAGAAAACAGCCTGAGAGGTGGAAGAAAAACCAAGATAGCAGAATGTCATGAAGACCAAGGGAAGAGAGTGCTTCAAACACAAGGGCAAAGTCCACAGTGTTCCAGGCTGCAAAAAGGCCAAGGAAATGAGAACTGAGTTGTGACTTTGAGATCTGAAGGGTAGCAGAGTATGCTACCCCAAAATGACTGTAGGAGTTCAGGACACACTACTTCGAAATATGCTGCTTTGGTGAATTGATTATTTTGTGCTGTAGATACTTGAAAACCAATAAATAGCAGGAGAGGCTTTCTCTGAACTCCCCTCATCTGCTTAAAGACAGATCCTCCAAAAGGAACTCAATTATTATACATTTTCTCCCCAGGAGTTTCATCAACCAGGGAAGATTGGCTCATCACAGGAGAGGAGACAAACTTTGTCGCAAACTATCATACCTCTCGTACATTCTTCTAAAGGCCCATCCATCTTTCGTAAAAATCATTTACTCTCCCCAAGAGGCCTACATCCCTCCTCTTCTTTCCCTGTTAAAATGGTATTTAATCCTGAATTCTAAACCATCTCAAGGAGTTACTCAGTTTTTCTGGCTATCATCTCCCATATGTACCTGAGTTACACATGATAATAAATTTGTTTATTTGTTTTTCTCGTTAATCTGTCTTTGATCACAGAGGTCTCAGCTAAGAGCTCTGAAGAGTAGAAGGAAAATTATTTAGCCACAGGGAATTCACTGGTGATTTTGGTGAGAACATTTCAATGGCATGTGAATGGTGATTGCAATAATGTAAATGTGGTAAAAATGACACCACTATTTTTTGACATTTATTTTGTTATTACCAGAGATAAATGCATTTGTTGCCTTCTGTTGTAAATAAGTATATTATTTCCCCCATTTAACAATTATTTTCATATTCCTCTCCTTCTTAGACTTGAACTTCTCGAACCTGGGATTGTATCTTATTCATTTTCAGAGCTCCAGGGGCTAACACAGTCTTTGGCATATATAAATTGTGCAACATATATTTATGATTTAATGGGAGGACTAGGGGCTTTGTTTTTCAGTTCAAGTTGTCTGCAGTACCTCAGTCAAAGCTCCAAGCTCTGTGGTCAGAGTTTGAAGCATTAGATAGGCAGTTGAGGATAGGAGCTGAAACCAGGAATTCAGAATTTGCATCCTCTCTATGAGTTCTCTCTCATATGTCTCCGGACCAGTCACAGAGAGTCTTAATTTTCTCATTTATGAAGTGACTACCTTGATATTAGGAAAAAATTTGTAATCCTCATAACATGAGACCCATAACTGAAAGACTATACTATTATCAGGGCCCATTTCATTTTATCTGAATGTTTTCTTAACTGGATTGGTTTTCCATTTTGACATAAATTAGTATGCAATGCTGTTGTTAAATTGAGTGTTGATTTTCACTCCCTAGAGAGTTTTCTCCTTCAGGAATGGAAAAACGAAGCATACATTATTGCAGTAATAACACCCTTACTTGTGATCTTGTCATTTCACAAGAGCCTTAAAGCAAGAGTTCGGCTGAATTATTGCCTAAAGGAGTCTTTCAGAGAAAAGGCATGTGCTGTAGGAACATTCCGAAATGCTGTTATTTGTTTTGTTTTGTTTTTCCTTTTCTATTTCCACATTCTAACTGTGAAAAGCCAGGAGAAGATAATACCCAGCATTATATAGCCTTAAACACTTCTTTTAAATAATTCTTTTTTCTCCCGCAGCTGCTCCAGCAGTCCTGTGAGGCTCCTCTCGTGGACTCTCTGGTACTCCCTAATACCTGGCCCCAGCGACTCCTCCTTGCCTTGTCAGCCACTGAAGAAATAGCAGGCAAGAGCTTGTGGTTTAAGAGCTACCAATCCAAACCTCAGCATGCACTCTCATCAGAACCAGACTCAGTGGTGATGCAATCAACACCCGATCTCAGCATTTATCATGGCAAGAGATAGTTCCATAAAAGATGTACGAGTGTAAAGATGAAGTAGAAGTAAAAGTAGTTGAAGAGTATATTTAAGTTACCGCTCAGATGTCTTTCTCTTCAGTATGATGCCTGTGTTCACAGGAAGAAAAGTAACTGGAACCAGGAGATGCTCGCTCGTGTGTGCGTGAACAGCACGTGCGTCACATGAGCAGCAAACTCGGGTTTCTAATCAGTTATCCATTCACAACTGTAGCCATTGTCCATTTTTTTCTGAGGTCACTAATAAACATTGTTATAAATATACCTCCTTTAGTTGATTTCACCATTTCATCAATCTGAACACAAAATCCATAAAACCGGAAGAATGGTGATCTCTTCTGACAGCACACCATCTCTGAGACGATGTGCTGGGGCATGTGGGAGGTGGAAAGGCAGGGGGAAGGGGGGTGTATAATTAAATCAGGAATGAAAATAAACTGAAAAGGGTGTCAAGTGCAACTAGTCTAAAACACAATGTGCAATGAAATCCTTGACAACGGTATGAAATTACTCTCAGGGAGAACATTCAATTAAGACACTATTTTCAGAAACTAGTTAGAAAAGGGTTGCTAAGCGGCAGACTGCTGCACATCATCCTGAGAAACCGCTAAAGACAAATACCTAGTAAAAGTAGCTAGGCAAACATATATGAATAAAGACGTAAGCATTTGTTGTGTTTTGGGAGTTATATTGTTTTGAGTAAATTCTTCAGAATTTTATATTTAAGGCTCAGCCAGAAGAAACTCTTGGTTAAATAGCTCTTTAGGTGACAGTCATTTCAATAGGTGGTGTAGTCATCCAACATTATTCTCTGTGCTCCGCGGTGCACACAGTGCTACAGTTGCTGAGGTCTCTGTTTTAGAGGCCTGTGTGCATACAGTCTCCACGTACCACGTGTGTATATGCGTACAGTGCATCACCTCTGATGGTAAAGAAGAGCATAAGGCCCAGCTCATTGCATGTCGGCATCACCAGAACACCTGGAAGCTTGCTGTTGTTTTTCCTGGAGGCCTCCCCAGGCCAACTTTAATTCTGAATCTTTAGTTTAGACCCAAAGGCCTGCCTAGACTTATCTTAAATTCTGCTAAAGTTGGTGTATCCCAGGCACGAGAATCAGGTATCCAGGTGGCTATGCTTATGAGACCCACTGGGAAGTTTTTATCCTTTAATTTATCTTTTTTTCTCTATGTCTCTGTCACTTATAATCTGCAAGTGTGATTCATTTAGCAGATTTCGCCTCTGTTGAGCCCTGAGTTGTGGCTGTATTTTCTTTGCCGGGGGCATATAAACCAAAGTGATCAGCAGTTCTCCTAGCATAGGCATTGAGGCAGGAAGCTTTGCCAGGCCCACAGAAACCAAGAACACTGCTAGGGGTAACAAGATGCATTATTTCCTCCACAGCATGGTCCTCTCCACCCCTCAGGGTATCCAGAGGTCTACTGACTGCAGGCCTCACACTGGTGCCACTCTCTCCCCAGCACATTGCCTCAGCACAACCAGGAGAAGCAGAGAAGCATCCCAGGCAGCAGGCAAGGCAGAGAGGGTGGTGACAGCCAAGGGGGATGCTGACTTCCAGCTGCAACTACTATTAGCACTTACTGTCTTCGTCCAGACACAGAGGTAGAGCCACCACAGCTCCAGGTGTCTGGGTAGTATTTTAAAAGATTAATTTATGTTTTTATCCTCCCTGTATGTTCTCTTTCCCATGAAGCGGGGAGCTTTATGCTTTATTGCCTTAGGTATATGAAAGGACAGACAGCAGAGTCTTTTGATTCCTGTTTACCAAGCCCTTTGGAGGATGGAGAAGGTTTGTGGTGGGAGTAGAAGGAAAAGGGAAGGAAAAGGTTCAGGAGTTCTACAGTGGAATGTCTTTTTAAAAAGTTGAAGGGAACAGATTCTCTTCAGTCTTGGCTTCCTGGCAGGGCCCTAGGGAGGTGGCAAAACCCCAGAAAGGAAAGGTACTAGGGCCGTCAGCCTTGCAAACAAGCCCCGTGTCCCAAGTGGTGCATGAAAGCAAAGGTGTCACTGGATCTGAAGGGGCTCCTGGCAAAGACACAACGTCTGTCTCAATGTTAACCTTTAACAGTCACAGATGACCCAGAAGGGCACCTCTGACCGGGAAATGGGTAAGATAGTGCAGTCTTCATCTCATCCCGAGTGGGAAACACCAGGAGTGACCGAAGTTAAGCATTTTGCCTGTCTGTTGAAATGGGGCTCGGAGGCAGAAACTCAATTCATGTGAAAAACAAAGAAAGTGCTGTTCAGACTCTGCGGACTGAGAATCGTACTGTCCAAACATTCATCGAGAGGATTGTGGAGGGTTTTGTACTGTGTAGACATAGCTCAGCTGGAGCTACATTTTCCAGAATTTCCCTCCCTTTATTATACACATGAGGCTTGGCCACAAGAGAAAAATCGCGTGAGATTTGGAAGGCAGAAGTGAAGCGGCAGCACTGATGCTCTGGAGGTCGGTTTCGGGCCCTGGGTGCCACTGTGCTCACACATGTCATCGCTGACCTCCTGGTCACCTCCCTGGTGTGGGCCAGCTGCTGGGCTCACAATTCCTCTGGTTCCCAGTGCTGCTTCCTTGCTTCCTGGGATGCTTCCCAGGTTTCTGAGAAAACCCAAACTAAGCCAGACCTCACTGGATGGCACAACGAACTGAATCTGATAAGATTCGATGTAAAGATCCGCTCTAAGGTTTTGAAAACCATCTACATGTATACAGGGGAGATACATTGTCTAATCTGGTTCAACGTGGACACCACCAGAGCAGCTGCAGGTCCCAGAGTTGGAGCTAGCTTCTGGTCGTGTCTGTGGGAAGTCCAAGGGGTCCCAAAGTCCTGGGTTTCCAATAATTTTATATCCTGTACAGCCATACTGGTAGAACACGCATTTTGTGTATAGGATGCCACTGGTGCAGATAAAGAGAAGCACGTGAGTATGACCCAGATATAGCTGAGCCCCCATTTCCTTCCTTAGGGGCTACCTTAGCACTGCAGGCTGATCAAAAGAAACATAAGTCCAACTTCAGGCAGCCTTAATAGTGACAAAGTCTTTCCTACAAATCTCTCCAAAAGGTCAGTTAAGGAATTACATTATCTGACAGATAGCAAGTTCTTTGGCCTCAAAGTTCCACTCTTAATGCAGTTGCTTAAATCTTCAGTTCTCCAGAGGTTCCAGCCTGCAGTGGACTCTCTCCCACCATCTGCACTATTCCCCAGTCGGCACTGGCCCATAACCCATGGGATTTCCATGTCACACAAAAGTTGTCCTCAAGAGGTTGAGGACAGAGAAGGGATAAGACTGGGGAGAGGGGCGTGGAAAGACTGGCTAACTATACTTCAAAAATTTTTTGTTCCTATCACATGTGAATTTTAATTCTTTAAATTGATTCAAAATTCAGGATCCACCACACCCTCCTCACCAGACAGTCAAGCCTTCTTGTAGAGAAAATTAGTATAGAATAACGGAACATCTAGGACACAATTACCTCTTACTTCCAAAGGAAGCCAGTCTCTATTGTAAGGGAGGGTTGCTAATGACCTCTAGTAACCTTCTTAATGTTGGCCTCAACCACCGATGTTGGTAGTGAGGCCTATTTCTCTTGGCAAGATGTGAACTTCTTCCTGCCCTGGCACAGTCATGCTCCCAGTTCTCAGGTAGCACCTGCTTTTGTCCAGACACTAAAATCCAGGCTACTACAAAGGGCTTCAGAAATTGGCCAACCTCTAAATCCTTCCCCAGTTTACTCTTTTCTGCACTGATGTATGAAGTAAAAGTCTGTACGGTGAGACAGTGCCAAAACTCCATTTTCTCTGCTAATGGAAGAGAGTAGGAGGGAGGAAAACACAAAACAGGCTCTATCTCCACAGGGCTCCCATTGTCATTCTCACGGGGGCTCCCTTACTTCCTGGGCAGTTTGCCTCTGGAGGGGACAGTAGAGCCTCGGCGTTGCAGGCCAGGAACTCCGGTTTGTGTCAGAAAGAGCAGCGGTTGCTCATGAAGGCCGAGCAAATTCCCCAAAGCATCCAAGTGGTAAGAAAAGGAATTCAGAGACGGCACACCCTTGCTGCCTCTGTCCCTCCCACGTACAAAAACACAGGCAATGAGCCATAAAATGGGAAAAAAGTATTTTCAACTAGCAAAGCCCTAATATCTAAAATATATACATACTCTAATAAACCAATAAGAAAGACAACGACCCATTAGAAAAATATGGGGAAAAGATTTGAAAAGGCATTTCACGAAAGATAGAAAATACATTGAAAAGATGCTCAACTTCATTAATTACTAGAATAATACAACTTAAAACAATAATGAGATACCTATATGCATCTTACAAAAGAAGAAAAGATTTAAAAATCTGACAGTATCAAATGACAGTGAGGATTGAAAAAAAAAACAGTGAGAACTCTTATACACTGAAGGTGAGAGAATAAATTGGTTCAATCATTTTGGAAAACTGTTTGGCAGTTGAATATTCACAAATGTTATGCGTAGAGCTTTTTGCCACCTGTCCCAAACCTGACCACTTCTCCTCCAGGTCTCCTAGAACCTGGTCTGGATTAGCTATACTAAGAAATGAGGTCTGGTTTGAGGGGCTGACTTTCCTCTCTCCCTTCCTCCCCACCTTTCTTCTTTCCTTCCTTTTTAGTTTTTCAAAAGAGTGAGATAAAACACACACATATATAAACGCATAGAACATATTCAAACAGTTTAACAAATAATTGCAAAGCAACTCTCTACGTATCCAATACACAGATGAAGAAATAGTAATTATCAGCATCCAAAGAGTCTTCTCTGTGTGTCCTGAGTGATCACAGCCCCCCACCTTCCCCATTAGAATTGACTTCTATTATCCTGACATTCATGATACTAATTTCTTTCTTATTCTTTACAATTTTACTAACTACCTTTGAACTTTATGTGTATAGATTCCCACTGATTACATTCTGCTATTGTCAGCATTCTTTTCCTCAGCATCGTGTTCATGAGATTCAAACACATGGCTGTAGTTGACTTACATCACTTACATGATTTACGTCACTATTTTCATTGCTGTATTATATTCCATTGTATAAATATATACACTACAATGCATTTTTCCATTCCATTCTTGATGGATAGAGTTATTTCCAGTTTGAGCTTATTATGTGCAATGCTGCCAAGAACATTCTTGCACATAAATCCTGGTGCACATGTGCA